CACCTGGGCCCTCCCTGCCAGAGCCGTTTCCTCGCTAGCCAGGTGCTCCAGTGCCCTTCGCCGGCAACCTCAAACCATCCTATTCTAGAATTCCCAAAGGAAGCCACTGGGCAGACTTTGGCAGCTCCCAACGCCTCTCCTGCTCACTGGCAAGATCAGCTTTGTCATTGTTAATGTGCTTGTCTAGCCATTTGCTCCTTCGGGCTCAGGACGTGCTGGTCCCTGACCACGTGACTGGCCCCAGCTGCCCCTGCCCCCTGGCCTTGGAGGTGCGTCTCCTGCTCGTCCCCTGGGGCCCTTACCGCCTGTGTTTGCTGTGACAGCCATTTCCCTGTCCAGGGCCTGTTCAGATTTCTGCCTGACTTTCACAACTGGATTCTTGCCTCTCCGGTCCCAAGGAGCTCCGGTGACCTGCTGCCACCCACGCCTGGGCGTGGCAGGTAGGACAAGGACAAATTACTGTGTGCTTCTGCTTTGAAGTTTTCTCAACCAGCCGCGGCTTCTGGTTATTTTTCTCATTATAGAAAGAGAAGGGGGAAGGACCAAGAATGCTTTATTTCACTTCCTTCACCTAATTATACGGTCAGCTCTACCTACACTGGAAACGATGATTGATTTTATTATTCTGCGCTAGCATCAGACATGTTCCTTGTTGTGCTGTCATTCTCTTACCCACGAAAAGAAACAGATGTTGGAATACATGGCTCTTGCTGAGAGGGTGGTACTGGTAGCTTACAGCATGGCTCTGAAAACTAAGAGACCAAAAAACCGAAAATAAAATTTAAAAAACCCTTCCCTCTAAACCAGCTTGAGCATATGAACTGGCCTGAAGAGCATGAAGATGGAATGGAATCAAACAAGGCTTAGAAGCAAGTATCCCCAGGTGCCCAACACCACCTTTTTGTCAGCCCATAAACAGCAGCCTCCCAGGATCTCTTAACCTTGAAGGTGACCGGGAAGGATGGCTTTCAACGGCATACAGGGTGAATACACCTCTTCCCAGCAAAACCCATCAAGGCGTTCTCCCGAGCCTACATAGGCCAAATTCACTCGTAGCCATTACATCAAATTTTCCTGTAAATAAACAAAACTATATCATTTGTAAAAACAGCACACAACAGCCGGCCCAGAATATCAAAAGACCACTTGAGTTTTTCTGATGGCACAGCCCAAGCCCAAAAAATTCAATTATGTAAGAGTTCAGAAAACGCCAACATCTTCAATTTCCTAAGCCCCAGAGCAAAGCCTTTTATACAATTAGACCCCGTATCGTCCAATCTTTGGCATAAAGGTGGTGTCCAGTCTACCCGAGGTTTGAGTCTGCTTTTCGGACCTTCCCTCAGGCAGTGGTCAACCAGTGGGTGAGAGGAAATACAGCGTAAATGATGGCACAGAAGAATGATTTATTCTTAATTGAATGCGACAGGATAATCTATTAGGAAATGAATTGTGCCCACTTGTCACCACAGCAGACACCTCAGTAAACGAGAGTCGTTTCCTTCCCCCACACAGGCCCCCGCCATCCACTTCCCCGTCTCCCATCCCCAGCACGGTTTCAATCGACTTTGTTCTTGAAAGGCCTAGGGCTGCCTCGAACGCGAACGTGAATGGAAATCACCTGACGGGCTTGTTACACTGGCTAGTTCTCTTTCTGAACCTACCAATTAAAATTTCTGGGGATGGGGCCTGGTGGCCACATTTTTAACAAATTCTCTACGAAATGCTGATCCAGGGGGTTTCAGGAGCACTCTGAGAAATATTAAAAGAGACACTAGAACTGGAATGCGTGGGGAGCAGGGCCTAAGGCTTCAGGGAAGAAGGCCCGACCTGGGAAGGCTCCTGGCCCACAGGGGACCTTGGTCTTCCTCTCAAGGGCAGGCAGGGGTCAGTGCAGGGCTTTCAGCAGGGCTGTGACAGAAGCTTTGCATTTCACCTGCAGCTCATGCCCATGCACCACCCTCTCCAAGAAGGACTCCTGCCTCCCTCTGCCCCCCAACCCTAGTCCACGAGAGGCCCCTGCCCATCTGTGCTCATGACCTATGCATACTTCTGAGTCAGCATGGACCACGCCGTACTGACATGGTCCATTTACTTGTGTTACTGTTCTAATCTCCTCTCCACCAGTAAGCTCCTGCGGGCAAGGAGGGGACTTGTGCACAGTGCCTGGCATACAGTAGGTTCCCTAAAAATGCTTCACCAAGCAGACCACGGTGTTCCGTTTACAACCCTGTCACCACCCAACGGTCCTGACTTTTCACACAGAAAGCTACTTCACTGCCCCCACCCTTGCTCATGTGGCCGAGAACACTTCATTTCGAGCTGAGAAACTGGGCCCGATTTCTGACTCCCTCACGTACCACATTATATTATAGGGGTCAGGATGCCTGAGGTTTGATTACATGGTCACAAAGTTCATCCATTTATATTTTTTATGTTTCAGAAAGAACTAAAGCTCTCACAACTCTCCAAAGTCCACACTTGCAAGCCAAATCCCTCAAAGGAGTTTAAGGCACAGGAAAATGTACCAACAGGTGATTATAGCGCGAAAGCACCCGGTGTTTCGAGTCTTCGAAACCCTAAAAGCAAAACACCTGGTTTCAGCGCTAACCCTCCCCTCTCCCCGCAGCTCCAAGCACCTGTTTCCATTTAGCCAGCACCTCCCACCCAAGGGCAGATGTAAGGAAGACGCAATCAGAGTTTTAAATCCCGAAATTATTTTATAAAGGCAAGAAATGTTCCACGAAGGAGGAATCCCAAACATCACCCATGTGAGGTCTCCCCTTATGGGACGCCCCTTCATTCTGAGAATAAAGCTGTGCTATCAAGCGGGTGGAAACATGAGGACAAAACCGACCACCCAGTGCCTTCCGCCAGTTCTCCTGTGGTCTCCTGGGCGTGTGCAATTGTGCCCCATCCGAGAAGCGCGCGCCGCACGGAGCTTACCTTGTGGCATGCGTTCCTTCAGCATGCTCTCCATCACCAGAGGTCAGCGCTGGGCTCCAGGGACCTTCAAATCCATGCTGGATCAGGGGGCTCCTGCATCCTGAGCCGCGGTGAGCAGCTGGGAGACCGACAACCCAGCGTTGGCCGCTCCCTTGCTAAGCGGCTCCAGGAGTCGCCTTCCACAGCTCGAGCGGAAGGTCTCTCTGTGTCCAAGCCTCAAGCCACAGCCAAGTCCATGAGCAAGTCCGGCCCAGGGTGTCGGAGGCCCAGGACAGCCTCCAGCCTTCCAAGGGCAACCTCGCTGACCCCAGCAACCTGCTACCTCCCGCGCTAGGTAGCCTGCGCCTCCGCGTGGAGCTTTAACCCCACGAGGGGAGGGGCGGGGCGGGGTGGTGCGCACGAGCCCAGCACCTGGGGCCGCCGGTGGGGGCCGCGGGGGCGGGAGAGGCCTGGCGTTGCCCCCGGGCCCTCCCAGCCCTGCAGCTGCCCCGCGGCCCGCGATCCCAGGCCGGCCGCGCCTGGCGCCTGGCGCCTGGGTGAGGGGCGCAGGCTCTGGTTCCCCGAGGCCCGTGCGGCCTCCGCACACCTGCTCGCCCGGCGAGGCTTCATTAGGCTGCGCCTGTGCAGCCCGCCAGCCTCGCCGCGGAGTCCAGGCCATGGAACCCACGCAGGAAACCTGCCAGGAACCGCGGGGTGAGCCCGGGACGCAGGGGGGCGGCTGGGGGGCTCGGCGTCACCCGGGGGCTCTGGCCACACCGCCTCTTAGCCGGCTTTAGGGCTTGGGTAGGCTGAGGGGCTAGGCTGGGGTCCCAGGGCGGCCTGCCACGGGGCGCCCTCCTCTCTACACGCGGAGGAGAAAACGCAGGGCCCCGATTACAAGGACTGTCTACTCTAGGTTCCGACACCTGTCACCTTTATTAGGGCGTATCACTCTGGTACGTGCATTTATTGAGCACCTACTGTGTACCAGGTTTGCTACCCAGCTCCTAAAACGCCGTAAAGCCAACCTGCTCCTCCTTGGCGGCGCCACCATCCAGCCTCACCGCCTCACGCGCATAGGGGCCTGTTCACCCGCTCCGCCAGCTTCAGGCCCCTGCTGCTGGTCAGGTCCCACGTGTATGGACCCAGGAAACAAGACGGCAAAGCCCGTGACAGCCCATGTTACTATACACATGTGAGAAAGTTATTCCTGAAGACGTTATCTCATGCAATTTTCATTACAATAACAGTAGCACTTCGTCACGAGTTAGCATCCATTTTAAAATATTCCAATTTATTGGGAAAGGTGCAGCAGCTCCTTGAGGGAGGGTTGTGGGGGTTCTGAGTAGGTGGGGAGGTGACAGGGAGCGTGGCGGCCCTGGGGAGGAGTCTGCATAGGAATGAAGAGTGCTGTGCGGGTGATCCTGGGCAAGTCGCTCAACTCCCTGCTCCACAGGCCTGTATCCGTTAGAGTGAGATGTGAACAGCGCCTCCCCCCAGGGGTTAAACACATACTGTACTAATCTTAGCACAATGCCTGGAACATGGCAAGTACTTGATGAGTCAGTTGAAACGCAAAGACAGCCGGACACGCTGGGAGGGTGAGTGACAGGGGCTTTCACTGCCCTGCCAGCGGGAGGCGGCCTGCACCTCAGGCCCTGTCTGAGCTGCTGCCTCCCAGGGAAGGTGCAGGGGTGCGTCTGGGGGTGAGGAGGGATGGCAAGCACAGCGTGCATTCTGTGGAGGCGGGAGGTGGCTGTTCCGTTAACTCCCTGCCGTCCTGGCCGCGGTTTCTGAGTGCCGTGTCTCCCCACCTCGTCTCCCGTCTAAGCAATGATGTCTGCAGCCGGGGCAGCAACAAGGTCCAGTCGTAGAAGACGCAGAATCTCAGCCCCCCTGCTCCCAGCCTACCCAACCCCAACACCGGTCCCTTAGATACGCCCCAACAGTTGCCTGTCCCTCAAACTCACCTTCCAGGTGTCTGGAAAAGAGCAGGGAGCCCACAGGAAGCGAGCGTCCTGCTAGGAGTGCTCTCCTGCCACCTGTGTGGGGGCGCTCACGCCCCCCTGCTTGTATAAATGGGCTCACATTTTTCAAAAGCAGTTGGACTATCTAATTTGATGCTCACAATAGTCAAGTTAGGGACGTACAACTGGAGTGATCCCACGCGATACGGGGACAAACTAAAGTTTAAGACCCAACAAGAAACCGGTGACACAGCAGGCAGCACATCCTCTGAGCCCCGACTCGTCCTTCCTCCTGGTGCTAAGGGCAGTGGGTGCTGGCTCCCCACAGGCCAGGAAGGTGGACGCAAGCCCCTGCCCGCTGGGCTGGAGGAGGACGGCCTGCAGCAGAGGTCACCCCCCCGCCCTCAGGATGTCCCGAGTGAGGAGCTCCCCACGCCCTGTGCTGTCTCTGGGGAGAAGAAACCATCAGCGGCCCCTGGAGAGCTAACCAGGTTGGAGGCGGAGAGGGCGTGCCCGCCCCGCGGCTCAGGCGCTCGCCACAAAGATAGAACTCTGGGCCTGCCAAGACCCCAGCTTCAGGGGGAGGGCTGTTCCCTTCCCAGGAGAGAGGCCAAGCCAGGGAAGAGGTCCCTCTCTCCGGGCTCCGGGAAGCAGAAAAGGCCTATTGCCGTGGATCCCGCCTCAACACCATCTCCCAACGTCACTAGCTCCCCCCATGCCACACAAAACCCAGTGCCTTGTGGGTCAGGCCGGGGGCCCTGCCACCTGGCCAACCTCCTCAGCACTTTGGCCCAGAGCAGCCAAAACACAGACAAGAGGCCCCTGGAAGCGACCGGCCAAGTTCGGAAAAAGACTCGAACCCTATACCGCTCAGGTAAGTCCCTGACGGTGAGAGGAAACCCAAGAGATCTGGTGTCATCTCTCGGGAAGGTGGGCTCAACAGAGGCCGTGGCCCTGGACGCTGGAGTGTGCTTGGTTTGTGTGTCACCTGGCCTGTGGCAGGGCCACAGCCTCTGACCCTCACAGAGGAAGGTTGGGTTGCCTCATAAGAAAGTGACATTGGGACCAGGTTAGAAGGGACAGGACAGAAGACACCACACAGCTCCCACCCACAAAGCCCGAGAGAAGAGCAGACTCCGGGCTGGTGGGAAACTGAGTTGCAAGACTCTGGAAAGGTCCCTGGGCTGGGGACAGTGGTCCCCTCCGGAAGGCATCTGTCTTCCTCCTGTCCTGCCTCATCACTGGTGTTTGTCCTCATGCACGTTTCCTTCTTCCAGACCAGCTGGAGGAACTGGAAAGGGTGTTCCAAGAGGACCACTACCCTGACAGCGATAAGCGCCGGGAGATCGCCCAGACCGTGGGGGTCACCCCCCAGCGCATCATGGTAACGGAGGCTGGCCGATGCCGGGGGTGCAGGAGAGCGGGCCAGGCCTGTGCTCAGCACCTCCCTGAGCCGGGGCTGAGGCCAGACCTCCCCGGGGCTGTGTTCCTGCAGTTTCCACACGGCTACAGCCTAGAACCTTCCAAGAGGAAAGTATGGTATGAATACCTCAGAGGCTATCTAGATCAAACCAATCTGCCAGCAAGGCATCTGAAGCCAAGTGGTGAAGTGCCCTCCCGTAGTCCTGTAGCTCATCATGTGATAGTCAGGAGACCTAGTCTAAGTTTCTACCCCATTTCTCAAGCTCCTCAAGTGTCTCTCCCTCCAGGTGTGGTTCCAGAATCGCCGCGCAAAGTGGCGCAAAGTGGAAAAGCTGAATGGGAAGGACAAGGACAGCCCTGCAGGCCCTGCCCCCACCCCTGGCAGCAGTCAGTGCAGGTGAGACCATCTCTGGCTGGACCATCCCCGGAGGGAGGAAGTGGGGTGTAGGCTGGGGTCCTGGGTGTAGAAGGAGACGGTGCTGGAGGCCAGAGTTGCCGGCTGATGTTTACAGGGATCTGGAGTGGGCGGGGTGGGGAAGCTACCAGGCCTGGAGGGAGCACAGCTGCGGCACTGAGGCCCTGGTGTAAACCCAAGGGCCCCTTGAACAAGTCTTCATTTTGTCTGCCTCCAGCTCCGCAGCTCAGCTGCCACCTACTGTGCCCATGGACCCAGAGCCTGGCACCCTCCCTCAGGAGGCCCGTCTGGACGTTCTTCCAGGTGAGCTGACCACCCTCTGAGGGTTATCTGGGGAAATGGCCACTAGGAAGACAGTGCAGACAGGGGGTCTTTCTTGGGAGGTGTGGCCTGGGCCAAAGCTCTCCGGCTTGGGTCCCTTGGGACCTATTCAGGGGACGTGGGCATCGCACACTTCTACCATCAAATCCCAAATCTGCTTCCTCGTTTTCTCACTGGTACAACCCCTCTGTGACTTCCGTTCCTAGAGCCCCCCATGCTGCTGACATCTGACCAGACTCTGGCCCCAGCCCAACAGAGTGAGGGTGCTCATGGGGTGGCAGTGACCCCACCACTCTTCAGCCCCCCTCCTGTTCGAAGAGCCAACCCTCCTTTTCCCCTGGGCCCCGCCCACCCCCCACAACTGATGCCTCTGCTGCTGGACAGTCTCGGCGGTGACAGCAGCCACAAGGATGGTCCCTGCGGGTCCTGGGGGACAAGGTATGGACCCTAATGGGGCGGTCACTTAAGTTATTTTGGCAAGCGTTTAGGAACAAAGATAGAAGGTGCTTGGGAAGGAACAGGGCTAGCTGAGAGGACAAGAGGTAGTGAATGTGATGAGGACTAAAAGGTAAGTGGATTTCGAGTGGGAAGGATCTAGGCGATCACAGCAATACAGCAGGAATGAGGGTGAGAAGCTAGGGGCGGGAAAAGGAAGAAAAGGGGTGGCAAGTCTGGGGTCATGGAGGCGGGCAGAGGTGGTGAGGGGCAGGCACAAGGGAGGAGGCCACCCCTGAGCCTCACAAAGCACTCCTCTGTCCCCCACAGTGTCACACCACCCCCCACCTGTGCATACTTGGAAGAGCTGGAACCCCAGGATTACCACGCAGGCAACCAGCAAGGCCTGTTCCACCTCTCCCAGGCCCCCCAGAGCCAGCTTTTCCAGCACCCGCAGCCCCAGCTCCCCTATCTGCCCCCCTTCCCCGTGCCCAGCTCACTGACCCCCCCACTGCCAGAGGACTCGCTGTTCCCACTGCCTTACGGCCCCAGCGGGGGTGCACCACAGGGCTACTTCCCAGGCCCCTCGTCGGGGCAGATCCTGCTCCAGCCACCTGCTGGGAACATGGGTGAGTTGGGGTTGGAAGAGGAAGGGGAGAAGGGCCAGAGCGCGTCCTTAGCTGGATGTGCTGGGCTGGGCTGCGAGGGACCCATTTGTCCTTGCCCCTGGGGGTTCTTGAGGCTCTTCTTCCTCAAGTTTCTTGGGGGCAGCAGAGCAGAGTGGGGCTCAATCAGCAAGAGAGCTTTGGAGTCAGGAAAACCAAAGTTTGAAGTTCAGTTCTCCTGAGCCTCAGTTTCCCGGACTTTAAAATGGGAATAATATTCCCATATCGTAGAGGCACTTGGTGAAGATGAGAAACAGTGTGAGTGAAATACGTGGCACAGTGTGGATGGTGGCTGCGCTCAGTATTCTGAGGGCCACTTGGACCCCCGGAAACCTGGAAGCAACCACCGCGTTATGACGACATTCTCGTAGAAGGGAAGACAGACGTGTCCAGCTGGCCCCCGTCTCCTTGCTGCCTGCCTGAGGGAGACACATGACCTGACCCACGGTCCGCTCTGTGTCAGGGCTACCAAACCACAGGACCTTGAGTCAGGAGCGTGCCTGGTCCTGAGGGGCACGCCCGGCGCTAGTATCTGACCCAGACTTGCTTGGGGTCCTAACCTGTGGAGGTCCTTCATGGAGGCTGACTGTCACAGAACACGCTGAGCTGTGCTCGGTACCTTAGGTCCTTCTCATCTTTCCTGTATTCTTTGTCCCCACAGGAACAGTCCCCTGGAATGACCCCTACCTGCCAGACCTGCCCTTCCCTGGTCCCTTCTGTCCGCAAGCTCTGGGCGCCCCCGCAGGCGGGGATGGTTACTTTCCCGATCTGTTTGCGGCTCCCTATGCTCAGGCTCTGAGCAGCCAGCCTTCTCCAGGGCCCACCCCGCTGTCTGAAGGGGCCAGACCAGGAATGAGGCCCTTCCCCTGCAAGGCCCCAGAGGAGCAGCCAACCGCCTCTGCGGAGCAGCCCTCAGCACCTGAGGTGCAAGGGGAAGACAAGAACAGCCATGGCCCCTAATCCTGGGGCCACGGAGGGAAGAGACTGCTGGCCGGGCGCGGGCGGGCGCCACTGAGGGGATGGCGGCTAAAGCCTTAGGAAGCACTGGAGCGGCAGGCAGACATTGCCCCCCATGGCTTCATCTTGCTGGACACTGATCTGAGAAGGAAGAGGGCTGGCCTTCCCCTTTTGCCACACCTCTACACGGTGGGCCTGAGAGAGAGGCCGCCTGGATTACTTCCGAATGTGGTATCAGTTTATGTTGTTTTCTTTCCTTGCTGGACAGATGAGCCAGCGTTCACTGGAAGCAGTAAACGAGTCTGCTCTCGGGTTTCCTCTGGAATGATGTGTCTCCCCACTCCCACTAACTAAGGGCTCCAGCTCCCCCACTGCCTTCCGCTCAGCTGACAGTTGCTGAGGTCTCCCCTGGGCCTGATCCCATGGACCCTGACGTCCTCCCTGGCCTGTCTCTCCTGCTGGAGGAGAAATTGGGCATTTCGGGCCTCGCCCTCAGTCCTGCCATGAAACCACGTTCTATTCCCAAACCCAAACCGAACCAGGGCCAAGCTGAGCCTGGCTTCTCTCTGGATCTGGGCCCTGCAGGGATAGGATTACCAGGGAGGCCCGAGGCCATTTTAGGTTAAATCTCTAGGATTGAGAACCATAAGTTATTTTCCCAAAGCTTTTTTTTTGGGGGGCGAGGGGGGAGGAGGTAGGAATAGGCAGTGGAATGACCAAGAAGATGCTTGTGTGTGTGTGTGTGTGTGTGTGTGTGTGTGTACACAGACACATATATACAGACGGTGCCAAAAAAATGTACACACATTTTAAGAAAGGAAAAAAATATTAAAATTGTAATCTATACCGATAACAAAAGATGAATACAAGTCATGTGAATACATTTTTTTGGTACCCCCAGTATAGTTAGCACCCCACATCTGAACACCTGATACTTCTATAGTGTCCAAAGAGCTACGATCTACGGACTGTTGATTAAAACACTTCACTGTGCATTGGGGGGAGGGTGCCATTTGGACCTCCAAATGCTACGATTATTGGAAAATACATGATTTTTCCCCAAAATCTTGTATTATAATCAATTATTAATGTATATGTATCATAATAGTCCTAGGGCCATGGCTCATAAGAAATAAAAAGGAAAAATATTTGGAAACAGAGAAGAAGCTTCTTAGTTCCATGAACACACACGTCTGCGTGTGTAGGGGCTTACAGACCAACTGTGTTTCCTAGCTGTACTCGAGTATCCTCACCAGCATCTCTTACTGCTACTCGAGGACCAGAATAGTTAGTCTTCAACAGCCTGAGTTTAGAGATTGGCATGTATCCACTGAAACAGTAAATGCCTTGTACTATATGATACATAACCGAGTCCTTTAGAGTACGCACTGCATATATCTCTTTTGTCGTCACACTCTGTCTCATGAGGACCAGGAAATAACCAGCCTAAACACAGACATAAGGGAAAAGAAGATGGCACCTGTTCCATTACACGCTGATCCCGCCTCTCCTTCCATTGGTCCCTGCAACATGCTGTCGCTTCAAAGCCCTACGGGAAGCCTGGATGCTTTCTCCTCCCGTCCCAACTGTTCAGGTTCCTGCGCGCTGGGAAGGAGCCAATGCAATAGTGTGGACACCTAAAGCCGAGATTGGAAGGGCCATCAACAGCCTTTAAGATCTATGCTTCCATGCAACACTTAGATCAAAAGTGTTTGACAATCTAATAGACTGAAAACAAAGTGAGTTCATTGAGAAGTAAGAACGAATGATGGGCCAAGTAAAGAGAAAATGGTGAAAACTTCTTAGAAGCAGAGAATCCTAGAGGTGGAAGAAACCTTACAGGCTGACCAGTCCAACCGCCTGACAAATGCGGAACCTCCTCTATACCACCACAGATGGGGGTGATTCAGTCTTTGTTTTCCAATGGGGGGCTGAGATGAGGGGGCAGCTAACTCTCGTCACAAAGGCCCACAGAAGTTTTGAAAGCTTTACTTATTATAAACTTCTTGCTACTGGGAGAAAGCCAATATTGTTCAGTTGACCTGAGTTTCACTTTCTTTGTGCTACGAAGAATAAATCTAATATCACAAAATCTGAGGCCCCTATGTCATTCCTCAAAGCCTCGCCCTCAAGTGGTGTGGTCCCCAGGCTCTTTAGGGTCCTAGTGCCTCTTTTCAAATGTATATGAGTTTATGGAAGTTCCTTGTAGGAGTGGGGCCAGAACTGAGCCTTACTTTGCGGTCTGGTCAGCTGCATTGTACAGTGCGACTGTCAGCTCCATCAAATGGGACATATTCTTCTATTAGTGTGTGGAGAGAAATTGGCTTTTTTCTTTCTTTTGCAGCCAGTTCATATTATTCTTGGTCCAAAACAAACTTATTGTCAACTCAATAACCCCTGGGGCATTTTAATAGAAGCTGTTTTAAAGCCAGTCTCTTTCATTTTGTATTTGGAGAATTGACATTTTGAATCTAAATATACAAAAATTTATATTGCCTATTCCGTTTCATTTAGTTAGTTTTGGCCCATTATTGAGCTTGTTAAGATGGTTTGGAGTCCTTATATAACAGTAGCCATTTTTGCAATTTTTTCTCTTTGCTAATTTGATTAGTATGTTTTGTACATTTTATAATCAAGTGATTGATAATCAGTACACCGGTTATAAGTAAGTATAAGAACATGTTGACATCTCTCCTTAAAAGTACTCCGTTGATGAACTTTTTTTTGAGTAGAGAGTTAAACTAGCTAAATATCCTCCTTAATTTAACTATGTTATCCAGGGCCTTCTCTAGGATTTCAGAAACAGATTTTGGGAAAAAAAAAAAAACATTTTTATAGCACTCTCTTATAAGCCTAACAACATAATACATGAGATTAAGTTTGCCATTGCTTACTCTTAGGGAATTTATTGTCTTTTATGATTATTTTTTATCTGAATATTCCCAAATCGTCTTTCAATAACGTCTAGAAATTTATGAGAATTTCACATTAAATTGATTCTCCTTTAGTTTATACAAATCATCTATTTGATAATAAGGATAAATGCCTCTATTAAATCTTAGAGATCCTCTCCTGTTCTGCTCTAGAAGAAATATAGATTTGCGTCAGCTATGCGACTCCTGTTTGGGTTTTAAGACCATCTGATGTGTGTCCAACCCTTTTAACTTCTAGAATCTTTCCCTTTGTGGAGAAGACGGGCTGAAAAGGAACCAAGTGCTACTTCTCCGTATTGTATTAATATGTTGACATTATCGTGTCTGCCCAGTTGGGTTCATTTAGCTCCCCGTTCTTCCTGTTCCGGGTTTGGTTTTATTATTTATTATCATTGCTGGTGGTGGTGTTGGTATTGGTCTTTCGCACGTTTTGCAGCACTGAGTTTCTTCTGAGCTTCCCTCTTTGAGATATTAGTCTTGGAATTTCAGTGTGTGCTTCCTTTCAACTTGTACATCTTTCCAGCCGCGTTGTTACCTTTGGGGGTGACTTCTTCAGGTCCTCCTTATCATTCTCTGTGATAACAAGAAAGTGTTGGAGAGTTCCGCGTCCCTCTGAGCCGCTCTCAGTTGGATCTCGAGCTTCTTACACTTAGCTGCAGCTTCGATTTTGGTTTTGGTTGGAGTGAGGGAGCAAAGTCTCTGTGCTGGAGAGCCATGGTCGGGCCGCTGGCATCCTTAGATCGTAGGAAAGCACGTTGCAGCACTTGTCCCGTCCTATGTCCCCACCACCACCACCCTCATCCTCTCCATGTCATCACCCTCTCAACAGTGCAACCTCAGGGCTCTGCAATTCACCAGAGCAGAATCCTTCCTCACCGGCACTCCAGAGAAAAAATCCTGTCTCTCCCTCCAACTTAAGTTTTCACTATCACAATGTTTCCACTAGATGGCAATCTACCACCAGCATCACCATGGCCTTAAACTATTCCGGTTGTTTAAGACAGCCGAGGCTTAATTCTTCAAAGGGCCCCAGAGCCAGTAAAATCAGATTCAAAAATCAGTTGGGTTATAGCTTGGTTTGCCAGATAACATATAAGATGTCCAGTTACATTTGAATTTCAGATAAACACATACTTTTTTAGTATAAGTATGCTCCCTGCAATATTTGGGTGTTCTGTATTTTTATATACGCTAAATCTGTCAACTTAGCGCTTTGCTGGGACACCTTCATCCGTGACAGCTTCTCAATCCAAACGGAGATTATCCAGGAGTCGGCTTCCGTGTCTGTCTCTGCTCTGCTTCCTTACAGTCTTGGGTCCATGGCGTGAACCCAGTCCATTTAGCACTCAGTCCCCACCCTCCCGCCATTGTAACCCTCCATGCAGGCTCCACACTTGTCCAAAACAAATGCTCTAAAAGCTGCCAAATTCCTATTATATTTTTTGTTCCTGGTAGCTAAATTTTTATATTTTTTATATATTTTGAGACAGTCCATTAGACTTTATTTTTAAATGTCTATTGTAACATCATTTGCATACACAGAACACAGAAAAACAGGCTGCAAAAGGAAACTTGGCTTTTGTTGATTCTATTCCAGGTCTTACATGGTCTTCACTAATTAAGAGGTCTGACTTCTGGAAATGAAGCATCTCCTTCATTCACCCAGAAGTGCTGTGATTTTAGTCCAGGGGGACAGTCTAGGAGATTAAGGGTTCTTGTATTTGTAGTTTAGTTTACACCACTCTTTTAAACAGACCTCTTCATTGGAGTTTTATCACAAAGTCCTGAGAAATACAGGCAGGCAACCATTTGAGCATTCTGTGGGGATTTACAGGCACCTATGGTCCTGGGTGGACACAGAGGAATAAAATGTCTTTCCAGCTTTCAGGGAACTGACAAGCTTGTTGGGGAGCCCGAGGTCACCCATGGCCAGTTACACTGCAGGAGAGCCAGGCTGTGCAGGCTCAGCCATGAGCACAGCATGTGACGGACGCCCAAAGGATGGGGCAGCCATGTCTGCTGGGGCCGAGAAAGCTTCCGAGCCCAAGGCTTTCCTCATAAAGGAGAACA